AATTGTGTTACTCCAGCAGAAGTTGCAGCCCTAAGATGGGATCTAGCAGATGGTCTCTGATCTAATATAATAAAACTGCCAGCAGTCCTAGGCTTGAAGTGGAGGCTTTGCAACAAGAAATCTGGAGATCTAAATTACATGTGAAAAGGTTAGACTGAGCCTCTAGATTTGAGAAAATGGAGAACAGAGAATTATGCTTGAGAAAAATGAAAGAAAGGTTCATTGAGAGTAAGCAAAGTTTATTTTCTGACATAAAAGCTGAACTAGGGGGGTGTGTGTTCCCCATGTTTCAGCTTTGTCTTAGGCTTTAAGAGCCAAAAGTTGAAAGTAAAGATGCTGACAGCATGAAGAGTGTTAATCACAGCATGTTGTGCCAGCAAAAAGATCAGAGTAAAAATTTAACAAACCACATCCATTGTGAAAAGTGTATTTATAGCTAAAAAAGGTGTTGAAGGTGCCAGCAACAGAGATGTAATCTCTTTTTATCAGGTGTTTTCAGGATTCATAGGTCTGCTGAATCCACAGGTTCAAGAGTCTGAACCTGTTTAATTTGAGCAGGGCTTTTGGACACCTTCACTCTGTCTCATGGCCAGCAGATGGGAAAAGGGAATTTGAAGATGTAATTCTGTTGCCTTCAGGTGGTGCTTCCAAAGCATTAATTGCTGGTACGAGTCATAAACTGTGGCCAGTGTGGAACCATAATCCTGAACATTACAGACCTCACTACCAGTGCTTCACTGGGAAACCCAGTGATAAATCCCAGCGTGGTGTAAGGTCCAGTGCTTTTCTGTCACTTGTGTTTAGGAATCTGTGTGTGTAGCTGCTTATTGTTAGCCTTATTCTTTTAAAGCAAGGACTATGTTGACCACCCTCTCTTGTATTCTCATACTTCAGGAAGCTCACCTCTTTCAGCACTGGAGTGGCAGGAAAAAGAAGGTGCTGTGAGAAGTGTGTTCCTGCACTTCTTTTCAGTGAAGCGATCTTAAATCCCACAAGCTTCTTGTGGCTAGAGAGGAGGGGGTTAGAACCTTGTACCTTGGTGTGTCTGCTCACTGGGTGTCTGCAGTACTAGCAGTTATGTGTGTTTTACTTTTTACTTGTCTGAAGCTCAGTAACCCATTTGGTGTTTCCCTGCTTCTCTTTCATTAAAAGGCAGATCGGGAGCGGCGCAGAGAAATTTCTTTACTAGATGACATTTCATCGCAATGTCCGATCGTTTGGGGCAAATAACCAAGGGAAAGGATGGGAAAAGCAAGTACTCGACTCTCAGCCTGTTTGATAAGTATAAAGGAAAGTCAATAGAAGCTATCAGAACTACAGGTAAGTAGAAAGCTCCTTTTGGTGGCTTCCAAGAGGGTTGTTGCAGAGCTAATTCGGGCCCTGTGGGTAGGATGCCCAGTGGGAAGCAGCTGAGCTGCAGAGCTGTTTGCGCTGGTGTTTGAGCCTGTGTTTCATTAGGGCTGTGGTTCTTTGTGCTACTGTTACTGTACAGACATGGAGGAGGAATTGCAGCAAAAGAGCTGGGGGACTGTAGGCCCTTTCGTTTAGCTTGTGTCCTTGCTGCAGAGCAGTCAGGTTGCAAACTTGATTCAAAGCTGTACCAAGACAAGGCAGTTAAGCCGACTGAAGGGCCTTAAGTTGGTCAGACGTTTTGTGAGCTGAAAGTGGAGGACTGAAGGGCTCTGGGGAAGAATGTGAGTTAGTTTTGCAGTGGAGATGTGGCCAAAAGTAGATGGTCACATCGAAAAGCATAAATGCTGCCTGGATTGGCTCTGGGTTTGATATGGGAGTAGAAAACCAAAGAACATAAATTACCATCTTAATAAATGTGATCTGGTGGATAGAGTTGGAAAATTGAGACCTCAGGACTCCTGGGTTGGATTGCCAAAGTCTGTCTGCCAGGAGGTGGAATTGGGTGGCTGTTTCCCCAAGCTGTGAAAGGGCAATGCTGCTGCTTCTTGGTGAAATGAAAGAGGAGTATCTGCTCAGGTAGCTAAAAGACTGTGGGCATTTTCTCTCCCTTGCGACTGTTCAGAGGCTGCCTGCTACCCAGCTGCTGTGGCAGACGGCTGCTTCATTGTTGTCCTGGGGGAGATGATCTGTATGTTCACATGGCAGCAGTGGTGCTGCTTGTCATACAGTTCTGTTGGGACTGCACCCAGCCACAGTGTCCTCATTAATGTTACTGACCTTAGCAGGATATAGCCCTCTCTGACCTGGCGTTGTTCCTTTCTCACTAGTTATTCCTAGACATGGCTTACAGAGTCTTGGGAAAGTTGCTGCTGCCCGGCGCATGCCACCTCCTGCAAACTTGCCTAGCTTGAAGTCTGAGAACAAAGGAAACGACCCCAACATCATTATAGTACCTAAGGACGGTACAGGATGGGCAAACAAGCAGGATCAGCCAGACCAAAAGAGGTGGGTAGAGCTACTGTCTTGCTAAGTTCTGTCAGGCAAGCAGCAGCAGCTGTGCACTGCTGTGCTGTGTGTCGGACCTTAGAGTGATCAGTTCTCTGTTGTCCGTGCCAGTGTAGAGCCATCGTTGCCTTCATCTTTTAGCAGCTGCCATATCGCCAGAGTTGTTTGTCTGTCTGCTTGCCTTCCTTCCCTTTTGATCTCCCCTCTGCTGTCTCTCTGCAGTTCCAGTGTGACGGCTGCACAGCTGCAGGAGTCGCTGCCGCAGCAGGGTTTGCAGAAATCTGTCTCCAATTTACAGAAGCCGACACAGTCAATCAGTCAGGAGGTAGGTTCAAGCTCTGTGACTGCAAGTCTGCTTCCCCTGTCCCCAGGCAGCGTGAGGGTTGTCTTTAATTGTCTGTGTAAGAATCGTCAGGCTGCAATTTATACAACAACTCCTAGATAATCAATTCTTGTAGAATTGACTATCTTGACTTCAAGTCATTGTGCTCCAGGAATGCTGTGCTGCAGTTAAGAGTATAATTCTGTGCAGGTTACCTCTGTACCTTTCAAGTGTGTGCGGAAAGTCCAGCTTCAGTCTAGAAAGAATGGCTGGAATGTGGGACCGCTGGTTAGCACTTCTAAGCTATTTTACTTTGGGTCGAATTCAAGTGTTGCTTGGTGACAACAGATCCAGCTCTTGCTCCCAGCCTGATGAGACTTGATAAGAAGAGATCTGGTCGTGTAAGAGAAGTAGCCAGTGTCAGGACCTGAAAAGGCTGCTGGCAAGTAAGAAAGCTTCCCCAGAGAGTGCAGGGACTTGGCCCCTCTGTGCTGCAGATTTCACACTTTTAGTTTAAAAAAAATTCCCAGACCTTGAGGTTCAGGTAAATCAGGACAGGAGTTAGGTTTTGAAGAGGAGAAGAGTGGCTAATGCATGAGAAGGTAGGGTAGCCTTCAAGCTGAGGTGTAGCATGAAACTAATCTAGAATATTAAGAGGGACCGACTGGGAAAATGCAACAGAGCAAAGGGAAAGCTTGATTAGAGGGAGGAAAGCAAGAGGCATGGTTTGAGGAAGTAGTTGGTGAAGATGAGAGGAGAAGACATGGGAGGCAGGGCCGAGAAGGTGATTTTTGCTGTAGCTTCATAGCACGCTGGAGTGGGGAGCAGCTGACTTTAGCCCCAGCAAGAAGCTGGGGAGACCTGTGATACCTCCTCACCTGTGGGGTTCTAGAGATCTGAACCATAGCAGGTGCCAGCCAAGAAATGAGAAATAGTCATAAGCACTTACTGATCTGTGGGTGTTGGGGTGTTTTTGTGTTCTGTTTTCAGAGTACAAATTCAGTGCCAGGTGGACCAAAGTCATGGGCACAGCTGAATGGAAAGCCAGCAGGACAAGAAGGTGGTGAGTATGATAAACAGAAGTGGAGCTGGGTACATGCCTGCTTCTCCCAGATAGGCATGAGATGGGGTGGACTCCATTTCTTCCTGCCTTCTCTGCCTGGACTGGTGTGGAATGGGGCACAGCTGTCTTGATTACAGTGCAGTGAGGCCTTATGAGTCTTGTTTTCAGTCTGTATAGTGTGTTGTCTGGAGTGATGCAGCTGCATCTGCTCAGGTCTGCCACTGCAGGGCATAGCTTGAACAGGATGGGTTTCTTCACCATCTTGAACCAGAATTATTCATGCCCTTGAGAAACAGTGGGGAGTTCTGGGAGGTGAAGGTTTTGGAGGATAAGGGAAACATGTGCCCCCTCTTGAGCATCTTCCATCAGCCCAGAGCAGTGTGTAGTAAAGGTGAAGAAAGCAGAGAGGACAAGGGGAAAAATTGGCTTAGAAGAAAAAGGGAGGACACTGCAGACTGGAAATAACAGGCATCTCCATGGCTAGTAGCATGGGGAGCTTCACCTAATTAGGTGGTCAAAGGTGAGGCTGTAATGACAATGCTCAGGGAGGCTGCACACAACATCCTTGGGCCAAGGGTATTACAGCATCAGTGGGTGGAAGTTGGGTATTGGAGCTGTTGCAGGATGCACTTGCCTGTGCCTTGGCTGAGGCCTTTCTGTTCAGTCTCCCAGAGTAACTGTGCTGCTAATGGGTTCTGTTTGACTCAGGATCCTGAAACAGTGTTAGCAAAAATTGGGAGTTTAGTTGTCTTCACATCCATTTCTACATAGGAGGTGGTTTCCAGCTGCACTGAGTACTACCATTAAAACTGTAGTGAGAGTAACAGCTCAGTTCCACTGTTTTAATGTGAACAGACCTGGAACCGTTCAGTTGTTGAGTGAAATTGCAGAGATTTGAAAGAACTGAGAGTGCTGCAGATTGCAGAAATGAAGGGGACAAGCCTATCTTAAATTAAACAAGTCCCTTAATGAGAAGGTGTTTCTGAAAGGCTTAATGTTAAAGCAGAGACTTGTGCTTGCTTGAGATTGGTGGCCAGAGCAAAGACTCTCTCTTGTTTGGTTAATTGGTGCCTCTGAGACACCTGCTGTGTCTGTACCTCCTGTGCAGTTGTTTTGAAATCTCATCATGTAACAATGTTCTCAGAAGATTTTTTCAAAACTCATTCTAGGTCACACTTACCAATATAGAGTTCTCAACCCAAGAGTTGCATATGTGGCTAAGAGCAGCTTAATTAGAAGGTAATTGAATCACAGAAGCATCAGAAATCTGGCTGAAAGGACTTCTCTAGGCCGTCCCATCCTCACACCTCTTCTCCAGTGGCATTGAAGAATTGCTTTTCCTTCTAAGCTAATACAGCAGTTTCTAATATTATTGACAAAAAGGAAAGTCATTTGCTTTTTGCTCTTTTAGGTATTACTGCTGTAAAATCTTTCTTGGAGGGCATATCCTGAAGAAGCGTGGTCTTGTAAATTAATCATGAACTGCTCTGTGCCTGTGTCTTCTGTATAGGGGGCATTTGGAGGAAAAGAAAGATGCACCAAAGTTTTATCAGTGTGATGCTGCCATGGGTTAGAGCGCAAATTGTTAATGCCTGTGCATTAACAGTCGTTACATTGAGCAGCCTTATTTGGGGTTGGCAGTCTTCCCTGAAGAACACTTACGTTGTCAATACTCTCATTGCTGTTCTAGTTGTCTAGAATAATGCAGTAGAAATCAGAACTCCTGGCACATCTCGGATATTTCATAGTGTTTGAGAAATGTCATCCTTGTGTATTCTCATCTGTCTGAAATGTTTGAAGATGTTACATGCAGCAGTTGCAGTGTCTTCCCTGGAAATACTGAGATGGGAGCTCTTGTGCAGTGGGCAAGTTCCAGAAAGCAAAAATGACTTCAAGAAGCCTTGACTGTGTAGGGCAAGGAGGGGTAAAGAAATGCGACTCCTCTGTCAGGTCTTCAATACTCGTTGCTGGTACTTCTAACCTGGCAATTCTGAAAAGCCCTTTTTATAAAGAGAATTAGCCAAGTATAACACCAAGAAACAGTTCTCAGAAAAGGAGTATTTTAAATGCTTAGTAGTGCAATAATGCTGGCAATTTCCTTTTATTCAGTGTTACCTTGCCAACGGCTTTAGGAGAATTGCTGTGGTTTGTTTTCCAGGCACTGGTAGGTCTTTAGCATTGACAGAAAGCTGTCATTCCGGGGTGGCTGATGACACAGTAAGACACTTTGCCAGTGACTAGAAACTGATCTGGCCAGCGATCTGCATCTTAAAAATGCTGCAGCAGGGAAGAGTGGGATAGAGCACATAGAACTCAGGCCTTATCTGTGGTCTTCCCTGGGAATATTGCCAGAAATCTTAACAATAGCCTTCCCCTTAGAGTGAGATCAGAGCAGAGTGAGTCTGAAATGTCAAATTCTTGGTAACAGGTATCAGCTATAAGGGATCTTGCAGGATTTACATCTGCCTCAGTCTGGATTTAGTACTTTACAATTGGACACTGAGAAAGTTCACTCTGACTTTGCTGAATTTGAGAATTTAAATGAAGATCCCAAGTTAAAGAGTGTGGGAGTACTGGGTGAGGACATGAGTTGCTGTGTTGGTGACAGTGTCTGAGAGTGTTTTGGATGCGAGCTGAGGTGCTGGTATGATAGTAATTGGGGTTTAAAGATGCTGGAGACCCAGATTCTCTGGAAACACGTTTCCAGGTTGAGCTTGTAAAGGAACTGAAAAAGTGGAAGGATCTGCTCTGAGTCCCACACTTACTTGTCTGACAGGTTCAAGGGCCTCAAGCCGACTGTTATCCTTCTCTCCCGAGGAATTTCCGACGCTGAAAGCAGCTGGCGAGCAGGACAAGGTTGGCAAAGAAAAGGGCGCCTTAGATCCGTCGTATGGGCCAGGACCAAGCCTCCGCCCCCAGAGTAAGTCAATGCTTGTGTCTTTCTGCTTTATCCCAGCTCATAACCCCATACACTGTTTTGGGCAGTGGGATGTTAGGTCAGGGTAGTACAAGATATTCATCGTTACCTTCTTATGAGCTCACATGTGTCCAGCTGCTTAGCAAATGACCACAGATTGACTTGCAGTGCTCAGAGTTCTGTGGTCCAGGCAGCTGAGCATTGAGTGTCATCTACTACATTGTTTAATAAAAGTTGCTGAGTGATGTTGCAAAGCAGACCCTTTCCCCCGGGCCAGGGTGAAATGGGCGGGTGGTGTGATGCGGCTTCTCTTGGAGTGTTTGTGCATGATCTCATTGGCCTTAATTCTGCAGGGTGAGGGCTGGGGAGATGGGGAGCAGAGCTGGTTGGAATTCAGTCTTATTGACAAATAAGGACACCAGTGGTGCAGCAAGTACTTGGTAACGGCTGATGCTGCTGCTCTTGGGAAAATAAACACATTGGGAAATTTTCCTTGGTCCCTGGTGGTTTTCTGCATTAGGGCTTGCCCAGAATATTTGAGTTTCAAGACTTTCTGGTGGAGCGACTGTCTGCATTTACAAACGTTAATGTAACTGCCACCTCCTTTCCAGATGTCACCAGTTGGAGGGAGGGCGGTGGGAGGAACATAACCTCTGCTACATCTCTGACCGCCTCCCCTGCTGAGCTGGGCAGCAAGACCCCCAGCGCCGGAGACGGAGCCCCCTCCTCAGTGAGCACCAGCGATCCGAAGGAGCCGTCTCTCCGCCCAGCTCAGCCTGTCCGCAAAGGGGCTTCGCAGTTCATGGGCAATGTCTACCAGCCACCTACATACCATGACATGCTACCTGCTTTTGTAAGTTGCTCTTTCCCCACAGCTCTTAATGTCCTTATTGAAATGTGTGTGTGGGGGTTGAGGAAGTTGTCTGCGATACTCACTTGGTTCAGTGGCTTGCTCAGGGATCCCTTCTGATCTATTTTTAGCTTCTCCTGTTGTGTACTTGCCCTTTCAAGCTGGAATAGTGTAACGTAGCCTTGCTCAGCCCAAGGAAAAGTTGCTGCTTTCCCTTTAGAGCTGGTGAGGGTAACCATTAGCATGTGGTCTGTTAGGCAGCCAGACGTGAAATGTTTGTTTTCCCTTTGTATGGGTGCAGCTACTGTGCTCTTGTTGTAACCTAATCTGGGGAAAGCCTTCCTGTGGCAAGGAGAAAAACCAGACTCTTCTGCTTTGCCTTGTTCCAGATGTGTCCACAGCAGCCATCTGAGACCCCTGCATCACTGGACCGAGGGTCTTTCCCCCTTCCTCAGCTTCGGCTTGAGCCACGGGTACCTTTCAGACAGTACCAGATGAATGACCAGGATGGGTAAGGCTGCCATGACCATCCTGCCTGGGAGGCAGGTTCAGGGTGGTGATATGAACCTTAAGCTATGCAAGCATTTGGGCCAATCATTCAGTTGTGTGGGTGAAGCAGTAGGCAGCCATAGACAAAACCTGATTTTTACCCAAAGAAGCAGTGCTTTGCTTCAGCTACTGCAGCACCTGAAATGCTGCAGGACTGTAATCACTGTGTGTTTGAAGAGCAGTGGACAAGAGCAGTTGTGTGTGATCCTGAAGTGGAAGGGTTGCAGCTCTCACCTGTCAGCCCTAGGAAGTGGGTACCAGGTAGACAAGGGGGAAAAAAACATTGCTGGACAGGGAGAGAAGGGTGGAGGTTTTATGTAAGTGCATGGTAGAAAAGGACTGATTCACTGTTGCAAATTCAGCTCTACATTCTTTTCTTTATTGTTTCTAACCACGTTTTTGCATTTCCCTGTAGAAAAGAGAACAGGCCAAGCCTGTCCCGCCCGACACGTCCAGTTCGGCAGCAAATGGAGAGAGCACCTCGGCCCACCATCATCAATGCAGAGAACCTGAAGGGGCTGGATGAACTAGACAATGATGCAGATGATGGATGGGCAGGTAAAGTGCTTCCATTCTCCAGATTCAGGCAACAACTTAGGAGGTGAAACAAAGTAGTTACTCCTCCCCGAAGCATGAAATAGCCAGGATATATATTCTGGTGCCTCTGTTTCACTGCCACGGAAGGAAGGGAGGGCAAGCAGAGAGTGGTGTGTGTAGTTGTGAAATTGCTGTTGGTGTAAATGATGACACAATGGATCCTTCTGATCCCTTCCATCATACTGTGCTCAAGGAATTGGATCTGAAGACTCCTAAAACCTGAAAACACCAAACAACAGGAGAATAGCAGTCTGGCTACATGGGAGAATAGTTAGTCCTACCTTGGCATTAAGTATTCAGTTACCCACAGTCTCTCCTGGTGGCCATCTCCTCATTTGCAGCCCCTTTGCAGCCCCTGTTCCCAGGCTGCTTGCTGCTCCTCTTTTGGGACCAGTCTAGCTGTTGAGCAGCGTGGGCCCACACTACTTGCCTCATTTCCAGCCTGTGCATTCTCTGGTTTAGTGCCAGAGACGGCATAATTTTATCAGGACAAGGGACTGGTTTCCCTTCTCTCATATATCCTTTCTCCAATCTCACTTCCATAGGTATTCATGAAGAAGTGGATTACTCTGAGAAACTGAAGTTTAGTGAAGATGAGGAAGAGGAAGAACCTCTTGCTAAAGATGGACGACAGAAGTGGTAAGAAGGGGCTGTATTTGCACCTATGGTTGTTTCAGTAAAAGTGAACAATACCAAGATCTTCTTAAAACTTGCTGTAGATGTTGAGGCCTGATCCCCCCTGATTCATACTGTGACTTTGTTGATTCCGCTGGCTGTTGTCATGAGCGGGCTCCAAGGATGTGCACACATCTTGAAGCTGAGTGTCAGGATCCCAGGCTTTTTTCCTCCTCACAGTAGTGGTGTTACTCGTTATGCACCTTGGGGGAAGAAAAGCATATTGCTTGTTCTGGTGGTTTTTTGATCTTTTCTTTCTGCAACAGTCAGATGTCTTTGCCACTTGATAAAAGTGTAAGTGCTTTTTGAGGCAAGTAGCAAGTGTAATAGCAAAGCTGTGTATATTACAGGAACAGCTGGGATCCCAGAAGGCAGCGACAGTTGTCCCTGAGCTCTGCAGACAGTGCAGATGTCAAACACACCCTGGAGGAAGGAAAGAACTGGAGCGACTCGGTTGGCTTGTCCCGGTCAGTCCGGAAAGGGCAGGATTCACAGCAGCCTCTGAGGAAGCTGAATGGCTGGAGCTCTTCGTCTGAATACCAGGTAGCTTGAACTCCTGTGAGTGGGCTTGTGCCACTGGATATAACGCATTGCTGCCCTTAAGGGGCCAATTTGATGTTTTGTTGAAAATAGGATGCTGAGGAATTCCTCAGTTCTTTGTTTATATCTAGCTGGAGAGAAATGCATCTGCACAGCACTCCTGCTAGAGAAAAGAAGTTGAAGCTGGTCCAGGGCAGTGGGCTTGTCAGACAGGGAGAATATGGAGCTATTAAATCAGATAGCAATAACTCACCCCATCAAAAGGGGGATTTGTGTGCATGAGGATAGGAGGGAAGGAGAATCAGGAGGGCATTTTCTCCATGTGGGATGCAAAGCTGAAGGTACAGGAGAAGTTTGGAGGAATGTTTCTGTTACTGAGGAATGCTTTTCCTTTGGCAGAAACCCACAGTGGGAAATGTTCTCAGGCAGCAGTCCCTCGAGGATAAAGAAGAAAAGGTGCCACTGAGACAGAAGTTTGTGCACTCTGAGATCTCTGAGGCTGTTGAGAGAGCCAGGAGGCGGCGGGAGGAGGAGGAGCGGCGAGCCAGGGAGGAGCGTCTGGCAGCCTGTGCTGCAAAGCTGAAACAACTTGATCAGAAGTGCAAACTGGCTCAGAAGAGTGGGGAGACCCAGAAACACCCAGAGAATGAAGACGTGAGACCAGCAAGCACAGAGAAAAATGCTGTGCAAGAGAACGGTCCTGCTTTCCGCAGAGGTACAGAAGCACTGCTTGCCTCACCTCGTGAGAACTGCCCTTTTGCTGTTGTGCCAGTCTCTCACCTGAAGTGTTAGGGAGGTGCTGGGAGGGAGTGTTTGGAGGGTACCTCAGCTGCACTTGAGATCAGCTGCTTCATGTACCCTGCAGAGTATTTTGGCTTGGTGATGAGGGTGTATTTAAAAAGACTGGTTAAAACAAATGCAAACTTCTTTGGTTGCCTCTATCCATGCTCAGTCAGCTGTGCTCACAGAGACCTTGTTGGAATGGGCCTCTTGATCTTCTCATGATGGGATGATAATACTGAGAAGGTACTTCTGGGCCCCAGGTTAGAAAATCTGTTATCAGTAAGTTCTTGGAGGTTTAAGGAGTAAGAGGGGAAATAGACTGGGGTTTTTTTCTTGCCAGTGCTTAAACAGAAGGCTGATAAATCCTATTTATCACTAAAACAGGATAGACAAAGCCTTCTAGAGCTGTCAGAGCAAGTCAGAAAGATTGTGTGTGATGTGCTATGTATGACTGTAATAACATTCAGCCACATAATGCAGTTAGGACATGCCCACACCCGTGTATGTTGTGATGTGGTGGTGCGCTCACAAGCCCTGGCACGAGCAGGGATCTTCAAGGTTTATTTTCTTCTCTGCAGCAACCCCTGAGTTTCACACACAAGAGGCCTCTGTTGGCTATCTGGAAGAGGAGACGCCTGCCCCAGCAGCAGCAGCACAAAGCAGCAGTGAGGAGGAGCTCAGAGAAGCTCCCTCCCCAGCACAGGAGTTCAGCAAATACCAGAAGTCTCTTCCACCACGGTTCCAGAGGCAGCAGCAGCAGCAACAGCAGCAGGTAATAGGTGTGACACTTCCACCCCTCTTCCTTTGGACTCCCACCAAACCATTGCATTTGCTTGGTTCTGAACACCATCAGCACCAATTAACCAACTGTCTTTGGGGAGGCAGGTGATAAATGGGAGTCTTTTTCAGTAGTTGAGATCATGGGTGCATCCAGTATGATGGGTAAAAGGGCTCTTTGTGTGTTACACTGTGCACCCTGTAATGCTGGAGCTATTATGGTTAGGGCTTTCTGTGGCTGCGGAGAGGCATGGGCAGGCCAGGTTTGTCACTGGTTTGCCTGGGAGAAAAATAGCTGCTGCTGTCAGAAATGTTGACTTGTCTTACACAGCTGTCTGGGTGTCTCCTGACACTGTGAAAGCTTAAGGACGACGTGGTTTGCAGCAGAGCTCTGGTTTGCAAATGTGTGTGTGCAGAAGTTGGGGATGGTCCCCTTCCCACGTGGCTGGCTTGGTACTTGCTATAGGCCTGATTCAGTGAAGTCTTAATGCCTTTGGCTGGTAGTGAACCTGGTGAACATCTGTTCTTACTCCTTGGCACAAGATGAGAGCCACTGTTCTTCAGCACTGTTGAAGAGAGTGAGCTGAATATACAGGCCCAGGGAAAGGAAAACCTTTGGGGACCAGCTGCTTCCATTCCACTTTGCACTTGCTGTGCCCTCACCCTGTTAGATACAAGGAGCCATTTGCTTGCCAGGGGCAAACTGTGCTCAGGTTGGCAGTTGATTGGGCTGCTTAGGGATGGAATGTGAGCACAGTGAAGTGGCACACTCCCATTCTACCTCCTGCCTTGGCAGAGAGCTGGTCCTTTACATCTGCTCTCATCTTCCACCTACCCAGGTTTTTTCTGTGAGGCTCTCAAATCTTTATTTTCGTTGCACCATAAATATGTTTGGTCTTGGCTATTTCATTGAAAACTCTCTTCTGGGGCTCTGACCAGCCTGAACTGTTTTGTATCTTGCATCTTGCCTGGTCTTACAGTGCTGTATGGGCCATATGTGCTCCTCAGCTCTTCTTCCAGAGGCAGTGAGCCTCCTTAGTCAGACTAGGGGACAGAATATTCAGGCTTGAGATAATGCAAAGTTAATTGCCATTCTTCATAGAATAACCACTTGAAATGTGATATAATCAATGCTGCTGCAAACCATAATGAGGAACTCACATTTGGCTTTTGCTTGGAAGCTCAGTAATTGCTCTTTTATAGATGTTCCCCTGTGCTTGTTACTCGGCAGTTGACATTTTCATGATTCAAATGCACAGCAGCAAATGCTGCTGATGTTACTTTTTAAAAGAGATGCTTTTAAACTACAAAGAATTGAATGTCTCTGCTGCCATGCTAATAATTCCACAGGTCACTGCTACTGGAAGAACATGAAATTTTCATTTTATTTTCTCTTACCCTCTGTGGCATTAGTATGTATGAGGCAGTTTGTATTTTGGCTGGTTTGTATTGCTGCTTTGGTAGCAATGGTTCCATGAAAAGAACAAAATAAATAGTAGTGTTGCTATCAGTAATGAAATATTTTCTCCAAGGCACTAGAGCACTATATAACTCAGACATAATCTTTGCATTTATCTGAGTTTCTTGCTGTAATGATGTGTCAGGTTCAGATTTAAGGGTGTCTCTTGCTCTGCAGTAGGGGATTGTCTTTTTTGATGAACACTTACAGTATCTGACACTGCTGTAAGCTCAGTAAGAAAAGGTGATGGAAAGTTTGACAAGTAAATAGATGTATTTCATGCTAATGGGATCTCTTTACCTTTTGAAAACTTTCCGTGGTACACAAAACTCCCTTTGAATAGAGGTGGTTCTTGGACCTTTAGCAGCAGTTAAATGTCAGTTGAGGTTATGATCATGACAGTTGTCAGCCTTGCAGGAGATGGGAAACAACCTCAAAGTGTCAGCCTATCTCTGGAGGATGCAGGGGAAATACTATAAATTATTAATAGCTCTCTTAATTGAGTTTAGGTTGTTCTTATCTAATCTGTTTGGCTGACATGAGTAGCACTAATATATATGCACACTAAATAACTTAAAATTGCATTTCCTCTAAAGAGCAGCCTGTTCTGAAGTATTTGGTTCCAGTTAGGAAATTGTGTTTGACAGGAAGCTGTCCTGTATCTCGTAGAAGGATTGAGAAAGTGTAAACTCTGGGTTTGAAGCTGATCCCTTGCGTTTGGCCATGTTTCCTGGCCTATAGAGCTGTGATATTCTGGCTGCAACATATTTTGGCTGTTCTGGGTATTCAGAGAATAACAACTACTGCCACGTTCCCAGCTGGTAGAGAGTTGCCCTTTATCTGCTCTACCCTCCCATCTGATCTGTTTTTGAGACTCTAATCATGGAATGTGTTTTCCTTTGGCTGGCTGGTTTCTAAGTGAGATTCCTGGCACTGTGACCATTCATGTCAAACAGCTCATCCTCTTCCCTGCAGGAGCAGCTGTACAAGATGCAGCACTGGCAGCAACAGCAAGTCTATCCTCCCCCATCCCATTCCCATCCCCAGCGGACCTTCTACCCGCCACACCCCCAGATGCTTGGCTTTGATCCTCGCTGGATGATGATGCCCTCTTACATGGACCCTCGCATGGCCCAGAGTCGCACCCCCGTGGATTTCTACCCTTCAGCCCTTCACCCTTCAGGTAAGATGCTTTCAGTGTTTTCCTTTATCATGGCTGTTGAGCTGATCCACATCTCAAAGGCCCTCACCTCTGTCCAGGCTTTGCATCCTGGCTGGCTGTGATTGACCTTCTCTAGGGATGAGAAAATGTTGGTTACAGGGAGAGCTGGTTAAGGGATGGAGGAGGTTGGGAGGGAGGACACCTGCCTGCCCATCCCCTGCACTGCAGTGGGAGATCTTCCCTAACAGCTTTGGAGCCTTAGAGGTGTAAAAGCAGATCTTGCCCCTTAGAGGGGAAGGATCAGGTTGGGAGTTACTGTGATCATGTCCAACCCTAACTATTCTATGATTCTATGAAATCTTAATAGACCCTCTACAAGAATTGGGATTCTGTAGTTCCTGAGCTGTGTGCTGTGTGCTCCTGGCACCTTCCTTTGTTGTTACTGATCTTGATGTGTGAATATAAACACCAGGATGTATAAGCAATTCCCTTGAGTTTGTTGTTTGTTTCCATACACCTGCTTGCTTCCAAGCCAGTGATGGTGTGTAGTGTTCTGTGCAGGCTGGGCTCTGAAAGCTGTGTCACCTTCTTTATCACTGCAGGTGTATTTCCCAGCTTTGTATTTCCCAAGCACAGTCTTCCCTCTGTCAGAGAGGTTTCCATGTCTGCAGCCACCTGCTGTCCTGGAAGGAAGGAGGGTCAGGCTAGCTGTGGATTGTTAATTCTTCTTGGCTTTGAGATCCTAGTGTTAATGGTGTGAACTCTGTCTTGACCAGGAATTATGAAGCCCATGATTCAGCAGGACTCCATCGGTGGGAGCAGCTGTCGGTCTGAAGATCAGAACTGCCAGGCAGGGCAGGCAGAAAGGAAAAGTGCTCCCTTGGACCCTGTGCCAGTGTGGGGCCAGGAGAGCTACACATCCCTGCAGAGCAAAGGGTACTCCCTGTCACATCAAAAGCAGGCTGACAGCATCACTGTGGAGGGGCTGCATGCCAGGTGAGTGCAGGACTCGCTTGTCCTCATGCATACTGTAGTGGAAGGGGATGCCATAAGTCATCTTCTACTGAAAGGGAGGTGTAGAGTTGACCCAAAAGATATCTCTGAATAGACCAAGCTACTCATCTGGTAGCACCCTTACACTGTTGAGTGTGTTATGTCATGGAGGTGCTTTCAGACTGAGCTGTTCAGAGGTTTTCTGTCTGATGCCAGTCTAGGCTGACCAGCCTGGGAGCCTGTTCGGTAGGAAAAAGGCTTTTGTCACCTTCATGGGTAGGTACAGAAAACTGAGTTAAAAATTCTGATACTTTCTAGTTTGTCTCCTGATTCTTTGAGACTTTCTGTAAGCAATTCCTTGTTTTCAGATCTCCACATATGTTGGAGGTTGAATTTCCCTTTATTTCTTATGTTTGTTGCCCATGATAGGAACTGCTTTCTTTATCATCCATTGATTAGACAAACCAGGCAGTACATCCTGGGGCCGCAGCACATCTGCCCAGCATTCAGGTGTTTATAGGCTTATTGCCTCGTGATTTAGAACAAACATCAACTGATTTATTTGTTTCCACCTCTTGTGCCCAGCCTGGGCCCTTGGAGACATGCTGTGCTTTGCATTAGCTGACTTGGTTTTGTTTCCTGCTTGTTTCCTTCTCAGGAATGACAGTTACTCTGCTGCTCCTGGAAGGCCGGAGAGTCTGAGCACCCAGCGAGATCTCTTTGAAGACAGAGGGGAGGAGTACTTGAATGCTTTTGACAAGAAGGCCCAAGCAGACTTTGACAGCTGTCTGCCTTCTCAGAGGATAGGCCAAGATCTCTTGTTTCAGCATCAGGAGACCGTGCAGGAAACCTGTCCTGCTGGGAACCGCCATGCGAACTTGAGGTGTTCGCCCCTAGAGCCTGACTTCATCCAAGCAGAGAAGAAGCCTGAGTATAATGGCTGGGATGTCAACCACCATCAGAAACCTGCAGAGACTGCAGCAGAAGCTGCCGAAGAAGTGCCCAGGGATGAGCAGTCATTCAGTGCTGACCCATGGAAGAAGGAAGGAGCCAATACCAAACAGCCCACAGAAGAGACAACAGAGTGGGCTCCTGAGAACCGCAACACCGGTGGTCAGCACCAGGAGCAAATGGGGAGGACGCGGCGATCTGGCCCGATTAAAAAGCCGGTCCTGAAAGCCCTCAAGGTGGAAGAGAAGGAGAAGGAGATGGAGAAGGTTAAGCTTGAAGGAGAGGACACCTCACGCCCACTGAAGGAGAAGGCGGCTGTTCAGAAAGTAGAAAACGAGTCAGATGATTCTGCAGCCTTACTGAACTCCACACGTTACCTGCTGGATGAAAAAGCTTCTTCCCAAGCCAGCCTTGCCCGGGAGGCTGAGAAATCCCAAGAGGAAGAGGAGGAAGAAGAGGAGGAAGAGAAGCCAGAAAGAGCCTGGGAGAACAAACTATCCAGAGAATCCGGTGATCTCCCTCCCACCAAAAGAAACAACTGGATCTTCATTGATGAGGAGCAAGCCTTTGGTGGGAGAGGTCAAGGGCGTGGACGAGGGAGAGGCTTCCGAGAGTTCACTTTCAGAGGCCGAGGCACTGTCGTGGGCAGCCGGGGGGTCTATAACAACCAGCGGAGCAGCCGAGGGCGAGGGCTGCGGGAGTTCAACCAGGCAGAGGACTTCCCCAGGGGCAAGCCAAGGCGCCGCATTGCGAGCGAGACGCACAGCGAGGGCTCAGAGTACGAGGAGCTCCCCAAGCGTCGCCGGCAAAGGGGCTCAGAAAACAGCAATGAAGGCTCCGTGCTGGACCGGGAGGACAGTGATTTGAAAAAGGGAGACTTCAAAGAGTCTTGGAGGTCCAACAAAATCTATTCAGATGATCACAATAGTCTGGATCCTAAGATGAGGGCGCCGAGAGCTTTTGGGAGATCATTGCCGCCAAGACTGAGCAACTCTGGCTATGGGAGAAGGGGCTTCATGGGGAAGGAGCCCACCCAGTGGCAAGGCAGGAGTGGAGGAGCAGGGTGGCAGGAGTACAGCCACACGTCTCCATCGGATGCTTTTGGGAGCAGGCAGCAGGCTGACAGGGACTACATTCAGGATTCTTACAAACACGTGGATTCCTTCTCCAGCCGGGTTTTTGATGAGAGTCATCTGGATGACAAAAGGCACTTTTTCCAAGAGGATTACTCAGCAGATCAGGAGAACATAGAGAACAGGCCGTTCAGGAGGCGGCGGCCCCCCCGCCAAGACAAGCCCCCGCGATTCAGGCGCCTCAGGCAAGAGAGGGAATCAGTTGGCCAGTGGAACCCTGAGGAGGGAGGCCCCAACCTGCTGCCCAGCCAGTGGCCTGGAAGACCCAAGCTGACCACTGCAGAGAAGAGCAGCATTTCGGGCAGACGCTCTCCTGAGCTGTCCTACCAGAACTCATCAGACCACGCCAATGAGGAATGGGAGACAGCATCTGAAAGCAGCGACTTCAGCGAGCGGCGGGAGAGGCGAGATGGAGTTTCAGAGAGCGAAGCCCAGCTGGAGGGGGGCCTCGGGAGTGGGAGCTTGGGAGAGAAGAGGGAGCTGGCAAAGAGGAGCTTCTCAAGCCAGAGGCCACTTGTGGACAGGCAGAGCCGCAAGGCTGAGCCAGCAGGGTTTGCAGAGCAGTCCGTCAGGAGTGGTGTTGGAGCAGCTTCCAGATATGAGAGCCAGCAGAGCGGGACGCTGATAAAAAGCAAAAGGTGAGGTTGCATTCTGATGTGCAGAGATCTGCCACCTCATATGAAGGTATTGGAGGGGTGGAGAAGGACTGGTCTGTGGCGAGGAGCTGTGTTGCTTTTCATCTAATGCAGGTGACTTCCACCAGTGTTAATCCAACTATATGACATGCAAAGCATTCATCGTTTGCTCTACAACTGATCAATGCCTTTGCTTCCATGCTGAGAATCATAGAATAGTCAGGGTTGGAAAGCACCTTAAGATCATCTAGTTCCACCCTCCCTGCAGTGGGCAGGGACAAATCCAGGTTTATGGAAGTTGTTAAAACACTGTGGTCATGTCATGTGCTGCTGCTCTTCACCTTAGTTTTGGACCAAGGCAGCTCTCCACTGTCTGGGCTGCCTCTCACTAGATGGCAAATAATGAAGGAAATCCTGGTCCTTAACTCCAGTCCTGCTGTGTCCTTTCTCTCCTATCATGGATCCCCAGTGGAGTGTAGCAGGGGACAGAAGTGAGGGCTGGGTTTTCCTGGGACAGGTTACTCTTTTGTGAGTTGAACGCTTGGGAATGATGTGTTAGATGGTGGTCAAACGGACACGAAAAACGTGGGAGAGGTAAAATGGGAAAATTATGGGGTTTTTCCCCTTCAATGTCATCAACCTTTCCCCATCTCCCTTTCCCACGTGTCATCCTTACCAAGAAAGGTGTGTTAACTGCAAAGGGGAGCTGTTAGAGCAGTGTCATAGGAGGGTAGGAGACACTGTACAGAAGCACAGGGCCCTTCTCCTAGAGACAAGTGAGGGTATTAGCTTTGTTGCAGGGGGCAGCCTGTTGATTGTCTCATGAGTGCATGTGTTGTTCTGCTTCCATCACACATCTCCAGTAACATCGTTGTAATGGGCTGTGTGCTCAGAATTTAACATCTGCTTCAGTTGGGCAAAGGCTGGGGAAGGATGTGTTTAGAAAACTGGTAAAGAAAATACAGCCCGTGTGTCCTCTTCTTGGTACTTCTACTTATCTTCTAGGGACAAATCTAATTCCTTTCCCTTCTTTCCTTCTAGGTCTCCAGAAGAAGGAGGGAGCCTTGGTAACACCAGTGGTGGGAGCAGCCACTCCATTTACAGCTTGGATAGGGCCTCCCATGCCAACTCAGAGTGTGCTGAGGGGCCAGGTAAAAAGCCAGAGAAGGAGTCCAAATCCACTGCGCAAAGAGCAAGTGAGAAGGGGGAGGCCTTGTCACAGTTTGAACTGAGTTATGGAAGTGAGTGTCTCAATTGATTTGTTTCTTTAAAGGGATAACACATTATGGCTGACTTCAAGACAGACTCACTTAATCCAGTGTAATTTTAAATATTGGGTTAGATTTTTTTTTCCCATTTATTTACACTAACAAGAAAGTTCTAGTGTATCTAAACAGGGAAAACATGGAAGACAAAGATGGTTTAAAACCTAAACTTTTCAGCCAGATCTGACAGTTTCTTTAATGTTTATTCTATAAAAAGTCTGGGTTTAGGGAGAACATTTCTGTATTTCTAGACAAGATGTTAAATTTCAAGCCCAAAGTACCTTACGTAGTGCGAAGGAACTGGAAAGAGCATCCAGAGTGGGGAATTTGAGTCTGAGCTCTGCAGTGCTGCTGGCTGAACTTGCTTACCTGCAGCGTGGATTCTATTTGAAATTCACTCATTATTGCAGTTACAAAGTTTTATGTGCATATACAGATGCACTGTTTTTTCCTTGTATGTGCTTTGTTCAGGTACCATCATTGATAATCGGGTGTCAAACACAGCAGAGGAGAATGAAGTAGGTTCTATGGCAGGTGAAGGCTTCATTGAGGTTCTTACTAAGAAGCAGCGTCGCTTGCTGGAAGAAGAGCGAAGGAAGAAGGAACAGGCTGCTCAGGTGAGGAGTGTGGGGCAGAATAAGCTTAACCTGACACGTTTGGACTGCAGTGAGAGGAACAAGGCCCTCTCAAAGTGTTTTGCTTTGTATCCCATTTCCCTGCCTCCTCTCCCCCAAAAAATCTCGTGCTGCTGAAGGCAGCTTTTTTCACTGTCATGTTATACTGGGAGAACCTCCCAGTAGCCACAGGGCCCATTTAAAAAACAAGGGGTATGCATGTCAGAATTACTTTGTATAGTTCTGTTAAATGAGTTAGGAGCTTTTCACATTGCAGCATTTAGAAATGCATGGTTTGAACTTGCCAGGAGCAAGCTGTGTTAGCTCAGTGCAGCAACAGGTCTTGCAGGCTGTGCCTTTGCTGTTTCAGGCACCAGCTAAGGCCCGTGTCCTTCAGTCTCGCATTCCTCCTCGGTTTGCTAAGAAGCAAAACAGCTTGTGCTTGGAGCAAGGTGATGTAACGGTGTCTGGAAACAGCCTGGGCACAGAGATCTGGGAGAGCAACAGCCCAGGTAAGTTTAGGAATTTGAGTGCTTCTGAAGTGTTCAAAAAGCTGAGTAATCCTTTGGTGTGTACAGGAAAGACAGGGTGTCTGTGCTTGAGAGGAGACAACCTTCTCTTGTCTGATGCTGGAAGTGGGAGGGGAGCTAACAGACATCTAGAGTAGCATCTGTTCCTACTGTGCTGTTCAGCCATCCACCTCCTGTTGTTGACCATGTCAGTCTCCTAATCTACTTCTTGAGTCATCGTGTAACATGAAGATCCTATTATATAGCATTTTCTAGCCTGTTGGGCTGGATCTGCTTCTCCCATTTTCTTAGTTTGTCTTCCTCTATTTTCCCATCTCTTAACACTGAACAGCTCATGCCTCCCTTGTTTCTGTCTCTGCCCTTTCTTCCCGTAGTGTTTTCATGTTCCCTAAGAAATCTTTCTGCTCTCCATACCCTGTGATCTGTGTGCTCCATCACGTCTCAGCCGATCACGCAGCACTGGCTTTCTGAGGTGGTGAAAGTAGCTAGAAATAGAACGTTCATAGTGTTAGCGTGCTCAGTGTACAAGGTGTGCTCATAGTTGTGTTATGAGCAGCTGAACCCTGCCCTCTGTTCTCTTCCAGCTCTTTCTGTTCAGTCTCCTGGCAGTGATTCCTGGAGCAAGCCTGTAAATACCTTTAATGGTACTGAATCTAGCACCACTGAGGTAAGTGGCACCTGATGTGCCATTCAGGTATTTTGTGTGTAAAATTAACGTAGGTGGCTTATGCTTCTTGCTGCTCCATCTGTGCTTAGCAACTCTCAGCTCTGCTTTTGCCATTTTAAACTGTCCCTTTGCAGTTCTAATTTGAGCTTCATGCTGCTCAAATCTTGACACAGAGGTGTTATGTGCGGGTGTAAATCTAGAGTAACCATCTGGTAAAGCTTTTCCAAGGTTATGCTCGTAACTGGGCGCAGAGTGTGGTCGAGGATGGTGGAGCCCATAGGTCATGTCTGTGTGCCTCTGGCTGTTACCAGTGTGTAGCTGTAGCCTTAATGTAGGGAGGGTGGAGGAGTTCCTGAAGGCTTCACCTCTGGAGACCAGAGTTCAAATCTGGTTTGGGTCACAAGAGAAATGAGTTTGGCAATCTCAGCCTAGTTGCTTTGTGGGACACTTCTTCCTTTTCTAAAGCCACAGTCCATTTGGTGCATTGGTTTACCCTGTCTCAGGGTTGCGTAGAGCTGAAGCAGCAGCCAAGAGATGCTGCAGGTCAGGCCCAACTCCTTTGCAGTTAACCAAGAATGTGATTTGAAAAGGGGACACGGTCTTGCTGTTTTCTGGGATGTTTTTTTTTTCCCTCCTTTGTGGAGTTGGGTTGGAGTCCAGGGCTTTAACACATTTCGTGCTTTGCATAGCAGGGTTTTAAAGGCAGCCAGGGGGATAGTGGCATTGACTTGAGCGCGGAGTCTCGGGAATCCTCCGCTACCTCCTCCCAGCGCAGTTCTCCGTATGGCACCCTCAAACCGGAGGAGATGAATGGGGCTGGCCTGGTGGACCCAAAGCCTGACTGCCAGAAGGAGCAAGTGCAGAAGCAATCTGATAAAAAGGTAATCTGGATTTGCAGCCAAGCCAGAGCTCATAGTGAGAGACCTTGTGAAGGTTGTGTTGTTCTTGATAGCATTTTTAAGGCTCGAGATTGGGTTATTCAGTCTTTGTGTCTCAGCCTCTCTGCTTTCCTGTTAAGGATTCAGATCAAGGCTCAGGACAGAACAAGGAACACAAGCCTGGACCAATCGGCAACGAACGCTCCCTGAAAAACAGAAAGGGTTCGGAGGGAACGGAACGGCTGGAAGGGAATATTCCCCCTGTTAACGGGGTGGAAATTCACGTGGATTCTGTACTTCCTGTGCCACCCATTGAATTTGGAGTAAATCCTAAAGTGAGGATTGAATTTAATTTTATCTTCTTGGTGATTTGAGCTTGTTGAGACATGGAAGGTGGTTTGAGGCAGAAGGATGATTTAGAGGAAGCTTCCAGCTGTAGATTTGCCTTAGATTTCATTGTTGACACAAACCAGGTACTCAAGATGTCAAACATGTAATATCCTCTTGGAAATACTGTCCCAAAGACCAGCTGGGGTGGTAACAGAGGTGAGGGACAAAATTATGGCCATCTAAGCCTTTGTGTGCCTCTGGGGGTTGCCTGCTGCTGAGAGCTGAAGTGTTGTCCTGTTCTTTTCCAGCAAGGCTTACTGGAGGACAGTCTTTAGTTTCTAGTGTCATGATTCAAGCTAGAGCCATTAACCGTGAGAAGCAGATAAGTGGCCTTTGGACCTGGATTTGAATTTTGTGTGTTTTGCTGTTTCAGGATTCTGACTTCAGCTTGCCACCTGGTTCTGCCTCTGGCACTGCAGCTAACCCTGTCACCAAATTGCAGGATGCCTTGGCCAGTAATGTAAGTATTTCTTTTGCATTGATTCATTGGAGATACTCCTTAGTTAAACCGCTCGCCAAAGAGAGCAAGCGTATTTCTTTGCACTTGACTTCCCACTTAATGCTTAGGCAGCACACGTGACTAAAATCCATAATGGAAATCTGTGCCCTCAAGGTACCTTGGTAAAATGAATATTGCTCACTCAAAAGGGGTATAGGGAGCAACTCCATTATCACTGTGACCTGTGTAAAGCAAGAGATATCTCTGCGGTCACCAGCTTCCTCCCCTGAGACGCAACAGAGTGTTGGTAATGGAAATGATACAGATAGTGGTGTTTTTAGGCCCAGACTGCCAGCTTCCTCAGAAAGTCTCATCTGCCACAGCAAGGTGGAGAAGTGTAACTCTAGTCTGGCCCTTTTGGAGGTTTCCCAGCTTATTCCAGACATCTGGGTATTTCATTATTATATATGTAAGAGTGAGCACACTGAAAGCCCAGCTTGTAGCTCAGCTGTGGACAGCAGTATGAGACACTCACAGAGCTTCTTCAGAAATGTCTTCATGCTTGTAGTCTCTTTGATTTTGAAGGTTTGTCTTAAAAGTTGTTTACTTTTCAGAAGTGCTCTTTCAGCAACAGGTTTTGTCCAAAATTTAGGTAGATTCCAAATATGGGAGAGCTGAAGAAGCTCTTCTGCAAATTGAAGTTACTGAGTCAAATTGATGTTTAAGTGGAAGCTGATGTAACTCAACATAGAGGGTGTCATTGCACATAACCAAAAGCTTCATTTGTTCCAGCAGCAAAATGGATCACAGTTGAATGTGGTACTTAACTCCTGCAGTACCACTGAGGGTTGAATCCTTTAAGGTGTAGTTACTAGGACTGCCAGCTGAGTTTCTCCCAACCTTGGTAGCTCAAGGCATTGGGGTAGATACAAGGAAGAAGCTTTTTACAGTGAGGGTGGTGAGGCACTGGAACAGGTTGCCCAGAGAAGTGGTAAATGCTCCATTCCTGGCAGTGTTCAAGGCCAGGTTGGACAGACTCTTGGGTGACATGGTCTTAGTGTGTCCATGGCAGGGGGGTTGGAACTAGATGATCTTAAGGTCTGTTTCAACCCTAACTATTCTATGATTCTATGATGTGAGAGTTACAAAGTGCTCACCATTGACCCATCTCCCCTCAGGCAGGGTTAACGCAGTCCATTCCCATTCTGCGAAGAGATCATCACCTCCAGCGGTGCATTGGCCTCAACCCAATGTCCTTCCCCACTGCAGACCTTACTCTTAAGGTAAGCAAGCTGGCATGTGTGTTTGTCCTGGGTGTGGATACCATGTTTCTATGGCCAGAGTATGTAGGATGGAGAGATCTTTCCCAGAGTGTTTTATTAGGTACTGCTAAATCTTTAATTGGCTCCTGTAAGAGCGTATATATGCTATTCAGCATGGGTGCAAGGGTATGTGTTTCAACAGTCCTGGATGCTGAAGTCCTTGCCACTTGTAGAAAAGTGCAACAGCTTTCCTGCTGTTCAGTAGCTGGGTAAGATCAGGGATCTCTCAGTCAGGGATCTGAGGTGCCTGATGGTTTAAAGAAGTGGGGAAAAAACCCCAAAACCCAAACAAACAAAACCACCCTATCCCCAAAAAACCCAAACATACAAAGACCATCAACAAAAAAACCCCGAAGTAGACAAGAAACACCACTCTAAACCCAAAAAGCTCAGCAAATACCAAGGGGGGTTGAGTGTTTGTGAAGGATGCTTGCCCATTGGAAATTGGTATGAAGCACCATGACCTGCCAGCTTTCCACTATGACTACACTGAATTTGAACTAAGAGGTCATAGATGAGCAACTCTAGGCTTCAGTATTGTCCTCCCCATTTGAACTGTCTGTAGTTATTGTCCTTCGTTTCCGTAGATGGAGTCTGCTCGTAAAGCTTGGGAAAACTCTCCTAGTTTACCAGAACAGAACTCCCCGGGAGGCGCAGGCTCAGGCATCCAGCCTCCTTCCAGTGTTGGAGCCTCCAACGGTGTCAGCTACAGCTCTTTTGGTGGAGTTTCCATGCCTCCTATGCCTGTGGCATCTGTAGCACCTTCTGCATCTATTCCAGGTACCTGCAAACTGTGGCAGCAGTATTTGCATTGTCTGGTTGGTATCTAGGAATCATCTGATTCTAGTAGATGAGAGCATGGTGAGAAGAGCTTACATGTGAAGTTAACTGCCTGGCTGGTGTTGAACAGATTCTTAACAATAATTCAGTCAAGAGAGAGAGGGATAGTCTTCCCACTTTAAAGAAAGTCACTTGAGTGTGACTGGTATAAACTTAGCACAAGGATGACATTCCCTGTGTAGCAGCAAGTCTGATATCTCAAGGACTTGCTTACCCTTCACTGTGTGCTCAATAGAACAGGAGGGAAGTGAAGAAACTCATGGCTGGGAGACTTCAGCAGTCCCAGTATCAACCATTCCTCTGCTTATTTTGCTCTTTAAGGCACAGGTTCTGAGCACCTTCTGCTCTTTATACGTAATAACAAAAACTTGCTTGTAGCTTGCAGATCTCTGGGAGGCGGGAAGGTGTTGCTGTCTGAGTTAAAGGCAAAGTTTAGGCTCAGTTGTGTTAGATACTGTGTAATTAGGGATATCATCTGGAAAAAGGAGATGTACTTGGTTTCTCTGACTCCTGGGTCCCAAACGCTCTCTCATGCATGCACTAACCTTTTCATTCCTCTATTCAAGCATAGAGGGGAATATGTTGGACAGAAGGGATAGCAAGTGGACCACTGTAGTGAGTCTGTTACTAGCTTCCACTTGGAAAACACATTGTTCCAGGTCAGGCGATTTCCTTTCCCACCTACCCTAATTTGCTTGTAAATCCCATGGTTCAGATCCACACATAACCACTGGTGCCACGTTTGGGGTGAATATGGCTTTTAGATCTCTTGTGTTAAGGTCTCAACACCGTATTTGCTTTCTGTCCCTTGTAGCTGCAAAGATGAGTTGATTGCAGAGCAGGTTTCCGGCATTTAGGAGGAGTTTGAAGTACAGTTCACCAGTTCCTGAACTGTTAACTCTTTCTGACTTTTGTGGAGGTGGGAAACCTGGGTTTACATTTAGCCTCTTACAGAAAGGTATGATTAATTCTCAGCAAGCCAACTATTGTAAGCAGGCTGCTGGCTTTGGTATGTGGATTTATGAGCTTTACAGGCTCTTCCGAATGGGCACTATGTTTGTGATGACTTGCTGAGCTGGTTGCTGGGGAGTCGGAAATAATCGACCTGCAAGTCTCTGCAGTGCACTGTGTGTATCTCTGCTGTACCTTGAATTTACACCCAGCCCTCTCATGTTTAGGTAACCATATTCCACCCCTGTATCTGGATGGCCATGTGTTTGCAAGTCAGCCCCGCCTGGTCCCTCAGACGATACCTCAGCAGCAAAGCTACCAACAGGTAAGGCAGAAATAATAGCCAAGGTTTCTCAAGGAGTCTTCAGGGTGGCATTTAAGAAACTAGGTGTCATTTATCTCTGATAGCCCAAAGGAGCTTAGATGTGGCTCCCTTTAGATTCCTTGGATGCTGCTTCCCAGTGGGAAGGTTCCCTCCCTTAATGACATTGAAGGGAGGGAATTGAGGGGTTTTCCCCTTTTATGCCAGTGCCTCTTTGTTGGGTTTAACTGAAGCAGATGCTGATGCACCTGTGTGAAGTAAAGTGACTTGAAGTATATATCACAGCCAGTCAATACTGATGAGCAATTTCACTAGCCTTAGTAAATGAGAACTGGGATTGTCAGTGCCTGTTCTGTGTGTGAAGCACGTTGGTCCTCTTACGTGTCCCTCAAATGCCTCTTGCAGGCATCAGTTTTCCCTCTTGGGTGCTCCTGCCAGTGTGCTGCTGTTCTGTGGGATGATGCAGGGGCTGGGTAAAGGTGCAATGTAGGTAATTGTGATGGCAGATTGATTCATGGAGGAAACTGATGGATTTTTAACAGCCTGGGAGAGTTTCTAGCTCCCTTTGCACCTCTCAATCATCTTAATTTCTCCTGCAGGCTGCTGCTGCTCAACAGATTCCCATTTCCCTCCACACATCCTTACAGGCCCAAGCTCAGCTTGGACTGAGGGGTGGTCTGCCTGTTTCCCAGTCCCAGGAGATGTACAGTTCCATTCAGCCCTTCAGGTGACTGCTTCCAGATTTTTAATTCCTTGTGGCTTGATCTCTTCTGTTCCTGATGATGTACATTGATCAGATAATCTGCACTCATCTTCTCTTCCCCCTTTGTTGATGTGCTCCTAGTAACATTGCCAGGGTGGAGAGCAAGAGTATCAGGGCACATGTTGCTTTGTAGGACAATGGCAAAGACCATCCTTGGAAAGTTACTCGGTTGTACTGTCTACCCTCTTAAAGCAGGAGGCAAATCCTGGGAAAGATGCAGAAAGAGGAGATTTGTGGGCTAGCAAGCAGGCTTACTTTGTGAGGAACACAGAGCTTACAGTTTGCTGTATTTGGTTTACAAGACAGAGTTTAATCAGAGCTGAGTACCAGGATAGTGAAATTAAATTGCTCTTTATTAGGTACAGACTGACAAGAACAGAATAAATGCCTGCACTTTGGAGAAAAAATTGCTAGAGATGCATGAATCTCTAACTTCTGATTCTTTTCTGCTTTGCAAAACTGCTGCAGACTTCCAGTAACCTGAATCCTCCCTTAACTACTAACCCAGAGCTTATTGTGCAGGATATCGAAACATAAACTTTGTCATTCTGATGAATATTTCTGCAACAAGAGGACATGGTTGTAAGGGCTTAAAAGTGGAAGTGAAAAATTAAGAACACCTTGTAACTAAAATGGAAAGTGGCATGACAGCTTATTTCTAGACTGTCAGCTTAGAATCTGAGAACAGGCCAGATATGGTTTGGCAGGGGGGGTGTGTGTACGGTCTCCAAAGGTTTTCTATGTAATGACTTGAGCCTGTTTTTCTTCTCCAGGTCTCAGGTGTATATGCACCCCAGTCTGTCTCAGCCCAGCACCATGGTCCTGACAGGAGGCACAGCTCTGAAGCCTCCCTATTCCGCCTTCCCAGGCATGCAGCCCTTAGAGGTGGTGAAAACCCAGTCTGGGTCCCCCTACCAGCCCATGAATGGAAGCCAGACACTGGTTTATGAAGGCCAGATAAACCAGGCGGCTGGCATGGGAGCCTCCCAGATGATGGACTCTCAGCTTACGCAGGTTAGGAGCAGAGCTCACGAGCCACTCCCCTTGTACAGGCTTTTTCACAGCCACTTGTTTCTGAGGCTGGGTTGAACCTACTATTTGTGCTGAGTTATGTGTTTGTGTGAACTAAGCTCTTTGTAAAGAGGCACAAGGTTTCCCCGAGAGACTTTGTTCTGTGAGCCATTGTTTCAAACATGCAGCACCTTATTTAATGAGATGCTTGCTAATTGTCTGTCCCTGCTGAGATGTCATTTTCAACTCTGAAGTCCTCGCCCTCAATATAGACATTTAATGCAGATCAAACCTTGCAGTGCTTCATGCATAGGAAGCTATAAAGCAGTGGTTGTACTAAAAGTACCTCCTTCTGAGAGCCAAATCCCAATTGCCTCCAGATTTAACTCTGCTTCCAGGGTAACTAAAACCTTTTATTAAATGCTCATCTATCTTCTCAATTCATTTCTTATCCAGGTCTTATTTACAACTTCTGCTGATCTGTTTGGCAGCATCTTAACAAGAATTTCACTGTGTGAGAAAGCTTTTGTAAAGCGTGGTTCAGATAAAGACATTGAATCCTCCTGTGACCATAGCTGTACTTGTGGACACATGTTTGATTCTCTGGAGAAGTTTGATACTTTTATTAAACTCATTTATTTTGTGCAACGTGTTAAGGTTTATTTGTTTTGTTTAAAGAGGGATTTTTATGTTGTAACTGACATAGAGTTAATGCTGAAAGGAACTTAGCTGAGGAAAATGCAGAGAATACTGCAAACTAAATAGCTGAAGAAATGCTTTATCCATCATAAGCTAGCAGCTTGGTCTCTTGCCGGTCTTAGGTTATTTATTAGTTTGATTATTTATTTATTCCAGTGTTGTCACAGAACCTCCCACATCCAGCATTTGTGAGGACTACCAGGTGAATAAGAGGGAACAGGAGGCTCTTGAGTCCTGAGCTGCATTTTTTTTTTTACATTACTCTTTATAATTACCATCACCAGTTTGAAGCTCAGTGCAGAACATAGAGCTGAGGTCACTGTCACTTTCTCTAGAGGTTCAGTCCTCAAAATGCTTTGGCATGAAAGTGTAGCAGACTTCCTGATCTGGACATCAGAGCTGCACACAGAACACCTGACGCTGAACTGTGTGATGCTGCCATCATATCAAGAGAAAATAACCCCATGCAGCGACCATGAGGAAGACTGAAAAACTGGGAGAAGGCTCTAGGCAAGGAGGAAGGCCCTGTGTCTGAGTGCAGTTCTGTTAAATCGATGCTGTGTTAAAAGCCCAGCTGATAGGGTGTTGGCAGCACTGCCAGAACATGCATTTCAGTGTGGAAGTCCCCGTGTTACATTGATTTGCAGTTACTCTGTGCCAGACTGCACTGTTTGTGAGCTTCCTTTTAGCCATGCTGTGTGTACAGGGTGTTAGGAGACAGAGTGTCAAACACCAGCCTGTTAACACCATGAAGTTAACTACATGTCCTTATCACTCAGCTAACGATGCCTGTGCCTGGCTCTCAGCTTCCTCTGCCCCGCTATGGCTCTGGCCAGCAGCCCCTGATTCTACCACAGTCCATCCAGCTTCCTCAGGGGCAAAACCTGCCTGTAGGAGCTCCCCGAAGAATCCTCCCTCCTGGATCCCAGCCTTCTGTTCTTGCTACCAGCAGGGAGGTAAGGATTAACTCCTGCGTGCTCATCTTGGCATTCATTAACCCTTCCTGCATTGAAGTCTCGCTCCTTGATCTTGTTTGTTAAAGGGGAGACTGGCTTGTTTGGGATCCTTAAGTATCAAAGCCAAGGATTGGTGATCAAACGAAGGAACCCTTTTCCCCTCATCTCCATAGCACAGGCCAGCAGTTTGTCAGGTTTTGCTGCTGGTCATCATTCTATTTCCAGGGAGCCACATCTTGCTTTGATCCAGTTTGGAGTCTCCAGTTTTATTACATGTTTACACAGGTTTCCCCAGAGTGCTTGAGGGGTGGTGAGCTCCAGACACAGTTGGAATACTGCCCAGATATTTCACACTCTTGTGAAGCTTGTCCATTTAAGTAGGTATATTAATGTCATGTCTGGTTTGATGGATTCATATCATAAGTTTGTCGATTATAGGGGAGAGAGAGCACAGCAGTTAAATTCCAGGTCCTTTGTTTGCTTGTGCTGCTGGCTTGTTGCTTTAATACAGGCAGATTATTTCACTTACAAGCCTCACTTCACCTGAAAAATATTTCTTCTTTTAATGGGCACAGTGGGTAGAAGGGCAAAGATTTGGCTTAAGTGTTTATATGACGTAGTAAGTGATTTGTGGATGCAAAGATGATACTCTCACTCGTTTTCCTTTGTAGTCCTCCCACATGGAAATGAAAGGGTTTCATTTCTCTGATGGTAAACAGAGTATGTCCTCTGGAGGGTCTGTACCATCACCACATACGTACAGGTAACATGTTTATGGAACTTAAACTCACTAGTCAGAATGGGGAAGTAGTGATCCCCATTCACAGCAACATGGTGCATGCATCATCCGTGTACAGGATACACTTTGCTTTTCACTTGTTGAATGTGCTCACTGTAGTCCAAATACTTGTATCAAAATGCATGACCATGGCTTTTGGTTTTGGGTGTGGGCCAGCGTGTGTCTGACTTGGCCTTTTGTGCTTGTGGGACATGCATGAAGTTACTTGTTTACTGACTCTTAAAGACAACTTAGAACTGGTGTGTGCTTTTGTGTGCTCCTTGTTAAGGTGGAAAATTTGAGGGTCGTTGAATAGACACTTTAATTTCCAGCATGGTGCTCTTAAGATGAGTGGTGCTCATGTCTAGACATACCAAACCTTCACGTCATTGAGCCTTTCAGGATGTGCAGTTGCTTTACTTATTTCTCCTCACCAATTCATGTGTTGTCTTTTGGGCTGGGGAGCTCGCTGATGCGCACAGCACAGACACATGCCCTGTCTATTGCTGCTTTCTGCTGTCTGTTTTTTCTTTCACACATGAATAAGATTCTCATTCCATTGTAGAATTTACTCCATGAATATTGTCGACTCTTCGATTTCCAGGCCTAGCTCTGCCAGCCCAAGCGGGAAGCCGTCTGGACCAGCAGTTAGTATGGGCTCTGTGCAAGGACACTATGTACAGCAGGTAGTGTACATCAGTACTTTGACCCAACAGTGTCTGTTCTTACACGCTGTCATGCTTGTGTCTTGGGCTTTTAAGAGTGGCAGAAAGGCTGGTGTAATTTGGGAGCTCTTACTCTGCCTGCAGGGAGAGTGAGTGGGTAGGCATTGTAATGAGTCTGAGAGTAATGCTTGTGTGATTTGAAAGTCAGGAGAGATTAGAGGATTACCTGTTTTACAGCGTCCGTGTTGTTTGTTGTTGAGATTTTGTGGTTATTTGTCTTGCCAGACATGTGAGACACTTCTAGATCCTTATGTGTGAGGTGTTTTAGGACAGCAAAGAGTGCCAGAAGAGGAGGAATACCTGAATTTGGGAACAAATCTGACGTCTTGCATGAATGCTGGTTACAATTTGGGTTTTGTATCTGCCTAGAAGTGTCTGTGCTAGCTAATGCTTTGTTGTTGTATGTCAAAAGGCAAAGCAGCGGGTGGATGAGAATAAAGCCAACTTGGGAGCAGTAAAGCTGCAAGAAACAGCCTCCACAAACCAGATGAAGCCAGTGCGCACAGGAGCGATCAAACCTCAGGCAGTCAAAGTGGAGGAGAGCAAGGCCTAGGAGCACCTCCGATGCCCGGCTGGTCCTGCTGCCTGAGAGGCCCTGCAACTTAGACTGGACCCCACTGGATCTCCTGAAAATTGCCAGACCTACTCCCTGCCCCACATTGACTGACTACAGCAACATCATCCAAGCCTGTCTCCCAACAAAGCAGTTTGAAAACAGTGGATATGACATTGACCTGCTTGCTTTAAAACCAACCATGTGACTTTTAAGTGGCTTGAGCCATTTGTTTTTATTTTTATTCCCCCCCCCCTCCCCATACCCCATCCCCAGGTAGCTGTGATCGCTCACTTGGCAAATCCCATTCTCCTTCCCTACTTCTGTCTCAGCAGAGTGGCAACTGGGGGAGAGGGGTTAGTTTGAGGTTTTTCATTTTAAAGGCAGCTGAGGTTTTTACAGAAATGCTATATCTTTGTTTATAGCAGAACTTTTATATGTTCTCTCATTTCCCCCCACCCTTCTTTCTGTTTTCCTCATTCCTTTCCAAAAAGAATTCCCTCCGGCTCAAATTATGTTCTGACAAAACTCTGCTTTGTTTTATATATGGTTCTGTGCTATGTTGAGAATCATGACTCTTCTAAATTGAGTTTGTTTGGGTATATTTCCCCAGATGATTTAGCCTTTCAGATTATTTGGTTTTGAAAATACAGGACAGTTATGGCATTCATTAATTTTTCAGTATCTTTGTTTTAAGCTAGAAGCAGTGCTTGCGTTAGAAGTAAATGTGTACTAAAGGTATATAGTAGATCAGTGCATTAATCTTGAAACTTGCACCATGTTAATTGTAGCTTTGGGGTGCTTGTGCACAACAAAATGTGGCATTTTCGTTTTAAGGAAAAAAAAACCTCCAAATTTCTGTTGCAAAGCTCATCTGGATCTAGGGGGATGTTTTCGGTCGGTTGGTTGGTGTTTTTGTGGGTTTGGGATTTTTTTAGTGTCTGCCAAACACACAATGAAATGTAAATCATAGATTTATGAAATGAAATGTAAAGTCTGTTAAGAAGGAAATCTCCTCACCACACATGGGTCAGAAGAGTTGGCCAGAGCCAACGGGTCTGTATAGACTACTTTTTGTAGTTGTGATGCTCTCTTATGCTCCCTACCTTGGCCGCTCTAATTATTCATATCTCCCAAGACTTGTTCTATCTTGTGTTCATCCCTTGGGGCTGCTCTCCTAAGCTTTGCTCTTCTCCCTTTTCCCTAAGTCTTGCTTTGTGTCCCTCTAACTCAACAGCCTTTTGTAAAATCTATGTAGAAACACATCGTGAAGGGAGCCCCTCTGCAAGGCAGCCATTATAGCACACTTGGAACCTCCTTTTTTGTGTTGGAAGTGCATGTTACAAAGGCAGTTTGGAATCATCCTTTTACTCGTCCTTCCCCAGATGAACGGCAAAGCATCAGTGCAGTTGCTTATAGTGTGTGTACAGTATCGTCACCTCACACTTCCCCACCAATATTTGATGATCTATGGAAGGAAGGTCCCAGTGGGAAGGGGTTGGGTTTTATTTCTTTGGTTGGTTGCTTGGTTTTGATTTGCGTGTGTGTGCGTGTGTTTGTAGACTTTTAGGATGGACTTCCAAGTTCCTGAAAGTGCTTGGGAGTCCTTCAGCTGACGGTAGTCTTGAGTAAACTCACTGCTTTCAGCTAACTTGGTTTGTCTTGTTTAGCTCTTTCAAAATGTAAAGGGGGCTGGTCACTCTGAAGTGAGGGAAAGAAAGCATTTTTGCAGGAGATGACAGCTTGCTAACTGGCTGTGCTGTCTGCCTCTGCTGGGTGGCAGCAAGTCATTTGGTGGTGGTTCCAAAGAAGATATTTTGAACAAAGAATGTATTTGGGAAGGGATCTGAAAGGTGTTCTTGTTTCTCTGTTTGCTTTGTCCTCCTCCCCCCACCCCCGTTTTGGGCAAGATCCTTCATAACTTTCTAGGGATGCATTTGAAGTTTTAAGCTAAGTATAAATAAGTATTTTATACAGTAGCTTTACAGAGCTTAGAAACCTAAACTAACTTAGACATAGTAATGTCCCCTCTCCACAGGTGTCCCTATTGACTGTGGCAGAGAACCCAAACTGAAAGGGATAGGATGGTACTTTAAG